AGCGAGCGCGGCGAGGGGCAACGTAAACAATAAGAGGCGAGCGCGCGCAACGAGGAGCGAGCGAGCGCGAACGACAAGAGGCGAGTGAGAGGTAAGCGACGAAGAGGCGAGCGAGAGATAAGCGACAAAGAGCGAGCGAGCGCGAACGACGAGGAGCGAGCGAACTATAAGGAATAAGCTATAAAGAAAAAGCTCGCTCGCTCCTCGTCGCGCGCGATCGCCTCTTGTCGCTTACGTTGCCCCTCGCCGCGCGCGCTTGCCTACCGCCACTCACTGACTCCGCCTGTATCAAATGTCTACGTGCTTTCTGCGGCCGCCTTCCGCTCTCTACGCGCTCGTTGGCTCACATATTTTAATTAATAACTCGGTAACTATTGCCAATTTGACATTATGGTACATGACTTTTCTTCTCGGCTACACCCAATCTATCTCCAACTTTCGTCTACATGATCAGCTATCAAACACTCTGTATTGCGACGCGATTTCCACTCGCCGTCGGCAAACTGCCGTCAGTCCACGCGCCCCGGCCGTTCGCACTCGCACAAAAGAGGTTGTGCGCCAGATGCAGCGGGCTGCACCGATCACCAACACAAAGCGACACACCACCAAAGGGCCGAGACACACGAATTCGACGGGACCGGTAGCTCCTTTGTATTTAGAGTCGGTAGACGGGAGGGTTCGATCGGGAATCCGGGACGCAGTCGGGAAAACACAAGAATATCAAGGCGCGTGTCGATTATCTCACTCTTTATTATTACGTGGATCGGAACGGTCCGAACCCTCGATACGTTACACTCCGCTGTTGGCTCTCGCGAATTCGAGCCTGGCTCTACGCCGACAAATGAGTCGAGACACGGGACGCACGGGACACTGAAATAATAAATCAGGTGGACGGTCTTACAAATTCGGGAACCTCCCGGCGGCGTGGTCCCTCGATCTCCTTCCTCTGCTCGCTCCTCCGCAATTCAGCTATCAACGGCAACCCTCCGTGAGCGTGGCACAAACGCTGGTCTCGATAGCGGTAAACGATAATGGGTTTGCCAGCGGTATTCGATAGTGATCCTTACTCGTCGACAGCGAACTGGCTAGCCAAGAGGTAAGAGAGCGCGAAAACGGGAGTTTGCTCTTCTATTCTCTCCCAAAAAAAAAGTGTCGCTCCTTTCCTCATTGTTGTGTCTCGCGACACATCTCTCCCCGTTCCTCGTTGCCTCTCCCCATCCGGCAACAAGGATCCGGGAATCCTTCCGCAGATCCTCGTTGTCGATCCGCGGAACGGGGCTCGGTCTCACTCTCGCGCGTTCTCTCTCTCTCGCTCGCACTCCCGCTGTCTCTTCGCCTAGGCCGGCTTTGTTTAGCCGGCGATCACGCTTCGAGCACGGGAGCGACGATAGCTTCGCCGGATATTTCTACGGGCCTGTGGACAACGGGAACGGCAGCGAGAATCTTTTAAGGCGATATGGGAATCGGTAATATTAAATAAAAGGTGGAGCATTCACCTGAGGTGGCGGTCCGGTCGATGGGTGACGTCATCTTCTTTCCTCTCTGGTTCTTCCGGCCTTGATGGGCGGCACAGGAGGTGCAGGGGCACAGAGCTCGGGGACGCGGGACCGTTCCACCTGCGCGCTCCTATCACTAATATTAATTAATACGGGGGGCAATGCGGCTCCCCTCCCTCGCAATTTGTGCGCGCTACTCTTCTCCCCCCCCCCGCAATTCTCGCGTAAGGACCGAGGGTTCGCATTGTGACGGGCGCCTTCACGGCCGCCACGTCACAGTATATATATATATATATATACAGGGTGCACGATTTATCTGAAGACATTGAAATATCTCGAGAACTATGCATTGGATAAAAAAAAGTGGTTAATGAAAGTTGTTAGCCTCGAAGAGGGACATCCAATGATACCAAACTCGACTTTCCATCCCACCCCCTGGGGGTGGGAGTTAGGGGCAACTTTGAAATCTTAAATGAAAACCCCCATTTTTTATTGCAGATATGGATTCTATGATACAAAATACGTAAATTTTGTCCGAAACTTTTTTTTGGATTCGTGATAGATGGCGCTGTAATCGCAAAAAATTATATTTTCCGCAATTCTCCAGAAATGATCATTGGATTAAGAAATAAAAAATACCTGTTCAATATTTTTAAAGAACATAATAGAAGTTATTCCTCCCCATCCTCTCGGGGTAGGGTGGGTGATAACGTTCAAATCTCAAATGGGGACTCACATTTTTCATTGCAGAATTAGATTGTACGTGAAATTTTTATTGAAACAATTTTTTCATTCGTGATACATAGCGTTGAATTTTTCCGAGAAACTATTTTTAGCGTTACACAGGAACAACGACGAGGACGTAGTAGTTTTTTGTTCCCTTCGGGTGCTTTTTTAATGTGAGTCCCCTTGCCTCTCACAGTTCGGGATGCTTTTTTAATGTGAGTCCCCTTGCCTCTCATAGTTCGGGATGCTTTTTTAATGTGAGTCCCCTTGCCTCTCACTGTTCAATTAATTAGAGTAAGTGTTCGAAATTTTTACCTTCAACCCAATATACTTATTGATTGTTTCAATAAAAATTTCACTTACAATCCAATTCTGTGTTTCAATAAATTGTTTCAATAAAAATTTCACGTACAATCTAATTCTGGAATGAAAAATGTGGGTCCCCATTTGAGATTTGAACGTTACCACCCACCCTACCCCGAGAGGATGGGGAGGAATAACTTTTATTATGTTCTTTAAAAATATTGAACAAGTATTTTTTATTTCTCAATCAAATGATCATTTCTGGAGAATTGCGGAAAACATAATTTTTTGCGATTACAGCGCCATCTATCACGACTCAAAAAAAAAAGTTTCGGACAAAATTTACGTATTTTCTGGCGTAGAATCCGAATCTGCAATAAAAAATGGGGGTTTCCATTTAAGATTTCAAAGTTGCCCCCAACCCCCACCTTCAGGGGATGGGGTGGGAGGTCGAGTTTGGTATCATTGGATGTCCCCCTTCGAGACTAACAACTTTCATTAATCACTTTTTTACCCAATGCATAGTTCTCGAGATATTTCAGATAAATCGTGCACCCTGTATATATACAGGGTGGGTGGTTATAAGTTTACAACCTGAAGTGTACAGGTAAATTATATTAAGACAAACATAAGAGTCCCATACCGTTTACCGAGATTCGCAATAATTATCGAGTTATTAATGACAGAAATCTTGAGGAGTGGGAGTGCGCCGGCATAGATGATTGGAGAAACGTTGCATCTGCTCAGGCTACGGCGCGGCCAACTCGGCCCAGCAACTGTGGGCGGCGTGCGGCGAGACGTAATTCCGACGAGATAAAACAACGAATAGCGGCGCGTTGTCCTTCCCCTCGTCTTCCCGCTATGTCGGCGCGCTTCTGCTCCTCAGATTTCTGTCATTAATAACTCGATAATTATTGCGAATCTTGCAACACGGTATGAGACTTTTATGTTTATCTTAACCCAATCTACCTTCACACTTCGGGTTGGCAGCTTATAACCGGCCACCCTATAAATGCGCGTTTTCGTCACGCGTTCTCCTCGCGGAGATGATTATCGGTGCTATCCTTTCCACACCACCTAGCGGTAGATAGTATGGCGCGTTTTTTTTATAGTGGTATCCCCAGGAGGCCTAATCCACTGTACATTAATGTATTAATGTAAAAACTGCTCGAAGTGCCGTCCTTTTTCTCGCATACAAAATTTGGCTCTTCGTTTAATATCGCGCGTTGCTCGGTGCGTCATTTCCGGCGCGATAGTATTGAAGGCCGCGTCAATTGCCTCACGCACTTCTTGTTCTGTACCACCACGCCGCTGTTCGATTAAATTCTTAATGTGACCCCATAAGAAATAATCGAGCACATTAAGGTCAGGAGATCGCGGCGGCCAGGTGATCGGACCACCTCGACCTATCCACCTTTCCGGGAAACGCGTATCTAATGTATCTCGCACTTGCTGGCTAACGTGCGCAGATGCTCCATCGTGTTGAAAGATCAACTCCGCTCGTGCCTATAGAGGGACGTCCTCGAGTAACCCTGGGAGTTGATTTTTGATAAAATCCGCGTAAATCTCGCCATTAAGCCGAGATGGCAAAAAGTACGGACCGATCTGAAAATTATGAAATGTTAGAAAATCATTGCGAGAAAGAAGTTTCTTCAATCAAATGATACTCACCACTCGGTCCGCCATTACTCCGACCCAAACATTAATACTCCAGCGGTACTGGAACGCGCCTTCTCGAACGGCGTGTGGATTTTCCTCCTGCCACAATAGGAAATTCCGCGAATTAAACACGCCGTTCGGTGTAAAGGTCGACTCGTCCGTTCACAGGATGCAGTCGGGGAATGAAATATCCCGCCGACACTGCATGAATAAACCTATGCATTTCAACGGTGATTAATAAAATCAATAAACTAACAGCAAAAGAAATAACTTGTAAAGCCAATACCTTCACAGAAAAAACGCGCTTCTGCTCATCTGCTTGGAGAAGTTGCTGCACGCGTTGGAAATGATACGGGCGCAGATTGTTTTCCCGTAACGCCGCACCACATTGCGCGAGACATCCAATGCAGTCGTTACCTTTCGCGTGCTGTTGCCGGGGTCTCTCTCAAATTCATGCAAAATGCGCTCTTCAGTATTTACATTTTGCACTCTTTCACCTTCTTCTCGTATATGTCGCAGGACCGATCCCGTCGCCTTTAAGCTCGCAATACACGAGACAATTGTGTGTCGAGAGGGTTTGTCGCGCGCGGGAAATCTTTCTGCGTATAAACGTTCCGCGGCAAGTGCATTCTCACCTGCCAAACCGTACATTATAATCATATCGGCGTATTCACTCGCGTTGAACATCTGTACACGTTTCTTCCAATAGTTCTTCAGGCTGTATCGTCCACTGAGGCCGTGTCCGCAGTCGCATTCCACGAATTTACCTAAAACAATTGATGATCGACGAAGACGGCGTAAAGAGATTCGCCGTTGAGATGTGATATAAGAATGTCATCCTTGTATGTCATCCTTGCGCAGGGGCCATGTTAATCTTCTCTGTATCGTTCCAATTTTAGTATATGTACTGCCGATGCAAGTACAGAAGGTCTCCTTTCGGGGCCCCCCAGATCCCCCCTCAGTGAGGAACCTACCCACCTGCCCCCCGGGAGCAGGTCTTCCTTCCACCGGGACTCCCTTCACCTCTGCATCATAGTATCAGAGGTGGGGGTCACCACGGGTCAGAGCTATTCCCCTCCTGGCGCGGGTGAGGGTATTCCTCTAAGGGGTCAGCCCACCCCCACCCGCTCATACCTGGCCGATGAGCCCCGGTGGGGGAGCCTCTGCGGCCACTACCCCACCGGCAAGTCCCATCGGCCTGAGGTGAAGGAGTGTGTGGGGAAAGCTACGCCTCGCTCTAACCCCCCCACTCCTCCCACTCCGCCTCCTCCAGGAGGGCGGCCGAAGCCTCAACCTCCATGGCCTCCGCCTCGGAGACCCCCTCCAACTTAATCGCCGGAGGTGGGTTCGGCGCTAACGGAACAGCCGTCGCTCCCGTCGCTGCCGGTCCTACCTATCTCGCCACCAGCCCCTTTCCCTGCCTCCTTGGCCTTTGCCATTGGTGGGACTTTAGTCCCTTTAACTGGGGGCGGCCCCGTCGACGGGCCGGGACTGCAGGGGGACTACGTCCCCCTTCTCAGTCGGCCCGCCTATGCGCCGCCTTGCTCCCCCTGTTTCGCCTAGCGCGACGCTGGGGCTCCACCTCTAGGTGCAGTCCGGAGGACTACCTTGCACTTATGGCCACCCATCAGGTGGCCCGCGTCCCTACCTTCCTTGGGGCACTGCACTTCCGCAGTGCACCCCCGTGCCACATGACCGGCCCCTCCACATCGGAAGCAGTGGCCCCCCAGTCCATCGTTGGACTGGCAGGCCACCGCCATACGGCTGTAGCGCAGACAACGGAAACATTGGAGAGGCCGTTCCTCCAAAATCCTAACCCTGGCCCACGACCACACTATAAGCAGCCACCCGACTGCTGCTAATTTCTGGGCCAGTGCCAGTGGGCACCCGACCCAGATCGCCCCCAGCCCTCCAGATGACCTGATTTCACCCGTCTGGAGGTTATCCGGAGGGCAGCCCGAATGTTTGAGGATCACGGCCCTCACCATGGTCGGGGTGACAGAGTCATGCAGGCCGACGGAGCTTAGCCCGCCTCGCCGGCCTGGCGACCACCGTCTCCCCGCACAAAACGTCCTGGAAACCAGGCGGTCGACTTTTTCTTTGCCGTCCTTCCCAGGGACCTCCAGTAAGACCTCCCCATTTCTGCGTTTAATTTTAAATTGGCCAGGCTCCAGGCCGACCTCCTTTAGGTCGACCTGTTGCCTGGCTTTCACTATTACCTCATTGATGGAACCTCCTGGCAAGGCGGTCACCGTAATGACCGTATTGCGCGGGGAGTTCCTTATCTGAGGCTTGGAGGGATTCCGAAGAAGGGACCCCTCCCTCCCTGGCCTTCCTGCCCTTGGGAGGGGGTGCGGTTGCCTTCACCGCATCTCCCCCCTTGGGGACAGGGGGTTTGGGTTTAGCCCCAGCCCCTTCCGCTTACCCTTTCGACTGGACACGACTGTCCAGCCGTCTCGTCCCTTCCCAGCGGCCACCGGCTACCGCGGAGGAGGGTGAAGGGGGAGGTCCCGCTGCCCGCAGCTGCGGAAACCGGAGAGGGAAGAAACCTCTCCAGTATCCGCCCTATGCGGGCGATTTACGCCTTGAGGCCCCGGACTTGTATCTCCTGGGCCCCCAGGCGTCCATCCGGACCGCCCTCCTTCACCATCCTCCCATAATCCACGAGTGCCTCCTCTATCTCCTCCAGGCACCCGTGAACCATATTGTCCAGACAGGTGAGGGGCATCCCAACGTAGCCCCTCGCCATCTTTCTCCCCGGTTCGACCCTGAGCGGAGGTATCGAATACCGTCGATCGTCTCTGCGGCCAGGGTCTCGCCCAGCCGTGAGGACTTCCGCACCGGCGGAAGTCCCCATTGCTGACGACGTTCTCCCGCGCCATCGACACCCCCCTCGCGCGCGTTCCGGAGAGGAGCTCCCCCAGCCGAAGACTCTTCGTCCTCGACCGGAGGAAACTCCTCCCCCGGGAAGTGTCGCTCCCACATCTGCGAGGCGGACAGATGTTTGGTCCCAACCCCGTGCATACAGGGGGCTCACTCCCCCCCTCTGACCGTGGGACATTGCTGTGCCCAAGCAGAGGGAAGTGAACCTCCCTATCTCTACATAATTGGGAAGCCGGCGCTTCCGACTTCCTCTTCCTCTTCTTAGGTGCTGGAGGCAAGACCGGGGCCGGACACGAGTCAAACCGATTCGTACTCAGCCTCAACCTGTCCTCCAGCGCCTCCCTTCGAGCGGTAGCCATTTCTGGTGGTGTGTCCGCCTGGCACACACCACCTAGCCCGTCGCATGATAACGACGGTGGGGGAGTGCCGGGACGACATGCCTCCCCCTCCCGCCGTTCCCCAGCTTCGAGTACTGGAGGCTTCTCCACCATTTTTGATATACTTCATAATTGTGAGGGTTTTACGTGCCCCCACACACACGGGTTTATCTTCGGGGTTTTGCTTCCCCTAGACCGGCTGCCTTCGCTAGGCTAACGAGCCCGCTCTGCCCGCGCTGTAGGGAACTTTGGGCCGCACAAGTGCGACCCTCCAGTCCCTGGATAAAACATGGAGGTAGCTGCCCATTCAGGAGTATTACGGACGCTCTGAGTCTGGTCCCTCCGCACAGACCACTTCGGCATGGTAGAACCTGCCAGGGACCGAAACCCCCGCCGGCACAGCGCTGTACATCCCAGGGACACGCAAGCTCCCCCATCACGACAAGGTGGCGTCCACGGGGGAGTTAGGTTCCTCCACTGGCTCCATTTTCAAATTCTTGAACCATTGTAGCCTACGTTCAGCATTCCGTGGGAATTTATGCGATGATGCTGTCTTCCCTGTCGAACATCTTGGTACACAACATACTCGTATCATCTTGATCCCGCTGTTATGAGACCTATAAAAATGTAAACCTGTATTTAGTTAAATAGATATTTGCATCATCAGTATACAATATTACAGTATCATGCATACTCAAATAAAACAAGTTGTTTGTCGCTAACAGGGAAAAATTTTGATAGTTCTTAAGTAACTGTTTCTTTTTGTTTTTTCTTCTTCCCATGTTGAAGTCTTCTTGTAGTCCTTTTGCAAGAGAGAGAGAGAGAGAGAGAGTACATAAATATCTTCATAAATTATATGTACACTCAAACGCAAAAAACCCGATACATTAAAAATTTGGGAAAAAATTACAAAATTTCAAATGATCATAACTTGGTAAATAATGAAGATACAAATATGCGCAGAAATCCAAAATGAAGCTTGAAACGTCCTCTTTAAGAATATCTGAATGGCAATTATGCTCGGTCATTTTTTTCAAAATGGCGGATGATAAAGTGAGAGGATGCAAAATTGATAATCAAAGGTCCGTGTTTGCGATGGTGCATGGTGTGCATCAGGTATCGCAGCCTAATGGGACTAAATGCACATGAAAGTATAGAGTGTTATCTTTAAAATGCTACTTTACCGAGTTCGATGTGATCATTTTTCACAGAGTTGTTCCAAATTTTGCTACAAATGCGGTTTTCTTGTTAAATTTGCATAATTCAGTGAATAAGTATCGCATCAAGCTCTATAACGAAGTATTTTAAAGAAAACATTCTATACTTTTAGGTACTTTTCGTCCCATTGAGCTGCGACACTTACTTTGCTCCATGCGCCGTCGCACGCTCGAACCTTTTTTTAGCAACTTTTCATGTTCTCCTTTTTATCACCCGCCATTTTGAAAAAATATCGTTGCGCACAATTTCGATAGATCTTTCGAAAAGTACGGTTTCAAAGTTTTCAAACCGTTTTTGAAATTCGCTGCTAGGATATTTAGGTGTCGAGATATTCAATTTCGAATTTGCAACAAATGTCGATTCAGCGAGTCTTAAGGAGCTAAGAGGCTCTGCGGTTCGTTTGGCTCTTTCATAATTTCAATAGCCGCGTTCATTATTCTCTATACAATAATTTACACAATTTTGCGAATTGGAAATTTAATTTTTATCAAAAGTTATCATTCTTTACCCTTCAGTTACGCATGATCACTGTGGTATACACTTTAGTTCGCGAAGCTGTCCCTAGCTCTCTACCTCCTCCGTACGATTGGCCATTATGGTATACAGCTTGAATATGCTGTTCAGGATCGCGCCTGAGTTCGCGGTGACCCGGCGCGCGGGATGCCGAGTCGCTGAACGCCATCTGAACGTTGAAATTCCCTGGCGCTCCTAGTCCACGGAGCGGCCGCGACGCGGCGATCTGGGTTGTCACGCGCGCAAGCCCATCGGCTCGCACGCGAGTTCGAGCTGCCCAGGGCATATAAGAATGCCCGCGGAGACGATCAGAGATTGCCTTCGTACAGCTTTTGGCCTTCGTACGGTCCACCGCCGATAGTGGCACTATCTCTTGTACGCTGGACTGGCTTGACTGAGATTCTGTCGGTGCGCCGGGCTTTAACGCCTGGCTTGACTGGATTTTTCTTAAATGTATGTGCCAAGACAATAAACAAAGACAAACAATTTTCCTTTTCCGAACGTGTTCACTCCGATAAGTGCTGCCTCGTGCGACTTTTCTTTTTCCGTGATCTTTTCCTTTCGAGGCGCGTTGCTTCGTGCAACTTCATCAATTTAAACTATAATTGATTGTTTCGCATCGAAAATATTGCATCTATTATGGCGACGATAAATCCTGAAAAGGCTGCTCAAGTTATTGCTTTAATTGAAGATGGCAGAAGTCGAAGGTACGTTGCTCAGCCACTTGATTTGTCAGTGTCAACTGTGCAACGTGCTTATGCCAGGTACTTACAAACCAATTCTTTCCATAGAAGGCCTGGTTCGGGACGTCCTCGATGTACCAATCACAATGATGACCGATTTATTGTTTCAAATTCGTTAAGAGACAGACATCGAACATCTGTTCAAATTAGAAACAATTTAAGGGATGTCCGCAACATTAATGTATCCGT